CTGAAAGAGCCTGAAAGCATTGATGTCCCAGCACCAATGAGCACACCTGCTACACTGATCTTGGTTTCCAGGCACAAGGAATGGCTAGCTCCAGGACTGGAGCAGGAACTGCATTAGACCAAAGCACAAGGGCAGGATATTCTGTGGTACAGGAAAGTAGGGAAGTGCTTAACAGAGGTCATGTAAAAGCATATATAGTTGATTGGTGATCTATAGTATTTCTCTGACTCCTGCCCTTACCCGCTAGTGTAAGATAGTGTGTCCTACAATTATTTCTATAAAGACCCACAAGTAACCAATATTTTCTTAGGATCCTACCCTGGGATCTAAACTTTTTAACTTCTTTCCTGTTTTTAGACTTCTTTTGGTGGGCCATATCTCCTTCTAAAGACTTAATTTTACTTTTAACTTTTTCTTGTGAATTGGGTGAAGGTGTTCGGGACAAATCCGTTCTCCCTTCAGCAAGTCATACACATGTTTTCATGTCATTGATTGCAATCCCCACAAGGTGACACTTCTCCCCATGCCTCCCTGTGCTTCGTTTCTGTGTATCTTTCTTTCCCACCCCTTCCTCCTCCTTCTGAACTTTATTCTTGGACAAATGCAAACTTTTTCTTTTCTCTCAAATGACTGGTTATTCTGAAACGTGCATATCGCCCTTGTGCTACATTCACCTAAAAGACAAATTGCTTAGTTAAAAATTGAGCCATGGGGATGAGTTCAGTTCAAGGCCAGAACAGGTCCAAACAAGAAGGACTATGGGCCACAGTCTCAGGAGTTCCAGTAGTCTCAACTCAATCAGTAAAAATAATTCAAACTCACTGCGACTGCAGCAATTCTGACTCGTAATGACCCTATTGAGCAGGGTAGACCTGCCCCTATGGGTTTCTGAGACTTTTTATGGCAGAAGAAAGCTTCATCTTTCTCCTGCAGAGTGACTGGCAGTTACCCACTACTGGCCTTGCTGTTAGCAGATAACTGTATCTGGAGGTAGAGTTTTGGTTCTGGATGGGCCACTGAAAGGAAGCACAAGCCAGTTGGAAGATGACCTGGATAGTGGCCTGAAGGAGAGGTGTTGTGATTGTTGGTTGTCATTGAGTTGGTTCACACTCATGATAACCTTATGTGCAACAGAAGGAAATGCTGCCTAGCCCTGCATCATGATGATAATCATTGGTACTTGTGAATCCATTGACGTAAACTCTGCATTTGAATGCCTTTCAATCTGGGGACTCTTCTTCCCACATTACACTGGAAAATATTCTGTAGTGAGCTAAAGACTTTTCATGGGCTAATTATCAGAAGTAGGTTACAGTCCTTTCTTCCTACTTTGTCTTCGTCTGGAAACCCTGTTGAAACCTGTCTTTAATGGGTGACTCTGTTGGTATTTGAAATTGGGGTGGCAGAGCATCTAGCATCAAAACAACATGTAAGCTACCAACGTATGAAAAACTGACAAGCAGGTGACAGTAAAAGGAAGTAGTAATTGTAATACAAGGCCTTGAATAGAGTGGGAGAAAAATGTGGGGCAGGACCTCAAAGTCATGAAGAAGGCCAGGCTTTACTGGTCTACCAGAGACTGGTGGGACCTCCACAACCATGGCCCTTAGTGCGCTTTAGGTCTGGAATTGAACTCACTCGCCTCCATGTTAGAATCATTAACCATTTGAGATCAAAAGAGCACTATTTACCCAAGGACAAAGTTCAGAGGGCTAGGAAAGAAGGAGGGATGGGAATGGAAACACAGGGAGGAAGTGGGAGAAGCGACGGAATTGTATTCGATGAGTTCAAACAAATGTGAACCGACTGTTGAATGTAAAAATGGCTCATCTGTTATGTGGATCGTCACTTAATTCACGGTAAGGCATTAAAAAAGCAAGCAAGCAAGAAACTGAGGAGATACTTGGGGACCACCTGCCTAAAAAATAGCGGACCCAAGAAACACAGGACAGCCAAGAACTCAAACCAGCTGCCTCTGTGAAGAGCAGATTTCTACTCATGCTGACACCATACGCTGCAGAGCAGACCGATGCTCCTTAAGGCTTTCATCACAGTGATTCTTCAGAAGCCTGTTACCAGGCCTTTCTTCTGAGGCACTTCTCAATGTATTTGAACCGCTAAACTTTCTGTTAACAGCCAAGTGCTTAACTGTTTGGGCAACCCAGAGATTCCCGGACAGCCAAAAATGAGTGTGTGTTTTATTTGGGTCAAATTATAGCCAAGCAAAGTAAGCTTGGCTGAAGAAGAACTTCCAAGATGTTAGACATTCACGATGTTCTCTTTTCTCAAAGAGAAAATGGCAAATATCTACAGATTAATCTACACATTTAGTAAGCATTCCAGCAGGATTCTTTTACTTTTAAGAATTCAACAACTTTTTCTCAAATCTATTACAGAGAATAGAAACCTGTGAATAGTGAAACCAATCCCTCCCCCGCCCCACCCCATCACTTTAATAAACAAGGTTTAGTAGTTTTTTTTTCCATTGGGGACCCTATACGGTTATAATAATCAGACCATGTGGTCCTGATGTAGCCAAAGGTAAACAAACAGTCAATGGAGTAGAAGAAAGAGCCCAGTCTCAGTAGTTTTAATGGAGTAGAAAATCTGAGAGCTTTATAGTAGAATCAACTTAGATTCAACAATTGAGAACATTTTGCTATACAGTATATGCTTTATATCCCTTAATGTGTGTGCATAGCGAGCGTTTGTATATCTGTGTCAGGGTATGTGCATGTGTGTATCTATGTATACATATCTAGATATGTATATAGATACACACACACATATATGAAATCCTTTACAAATAAATTGTAAACATGAGAACACTTCCCTTCTGAATACTATATGCTCACTGCTATCAAGTCAATTCTGACTCATGACAACCCTACCGGACAGGGTAGAACTGTCCCTGGGGGCTAAACTAATTTTTTAAACAGAAGAACAGAAAATACCACTCTTGTCAAACACTGATGATCCACGCTGCACCATGACCCAGAGCCACGGAGTTGAGGCCAGCTTAGAGTACCAAAGCAGAAGAGCTCCTTCAGGTTCCCAAGGCAGCATATTTGCATGGTAGTCAGGAACCTTATCTTTCTCCGGTGGATCACCTGGTGGGTTTAAACTGCCATCCTGCTATTAACAGCCCAATGCTTAATTCACAGTATCATCGGGGCTCCTATAAGTTCATAATAATCAAACCATGTGGTCTTGATGTAGCCACAGGTAAACAAGCCAATGGAGTAGAAGAAAGAGCCCAGCCACAGACTCACTAAGTAGGATAACTTGGTATCTGATCACGACAGCACCTCAAGTAGCAACGCTGCCTGATGCGAACAGGTAAGCCCTGAACTACTAGCAGAAAGGTCGGCAGTTTGAACACACCCAGAGTCATCTCAGAACACAGGCTTGGAAATCTGCTTCCAAAACCTCATGGTCTGAAGAACCCTCTTGAGCAATCCTCCTCTGGACACATGGGGTCACTGCGACCTGGGACAGACTAGATAACAACTCTGTAACAACACACCTCAAATAAATGACTCAAAGGGTGTTTATGGGCAAGCTTGAACTACACAGAGAAAAACAAAGTTGGAAAAGTTATTCACCAACTCTCAAAGATGGCCTAGAGATGGATTAAAGACCTAAATGTTTAAAGATATACCCTAAAGCAGGGTAGCAATATATAGAAAATGTAGAAGTACATTTTGGTGATTTGAAGGGGGGCAAGGACTTAAATAAAGTGTTCAAAACACAAAAGTAGGGGTTTTGAATGATACCATCCACCATTTTATCAGATTACTGACAGTTTGGGGAGAATATTGTCGGGACGTGCCACCGAGGGGCAGTAGGTACGCCATGGGTAACTGTGTAGGTCATACAAGCCAATCCGTAGGTCAAAGGAAGGAAACCTCTTTGGAAGACGGGCCCGGAAATGGACCTGTGGGGGCGTGGGCTCCTCACTCGTTCATTCAAAGCCTTCCACGTCCGAGGCACTGTTCTGAGCACTAGGAATCCTACAGACAAAATTCTCTGCCCTTGTGGGATTTGTTTATTCCCCCACGGTGTCTCCCAGTGACAGGAAAAAGAAATCAGCTTCTACTAAATGAATTCTCCCTGATAATTATGACTACCTCACATGTTAAAGATGTAAGTATCCTGAAGTTGTCCTTCGTCCACACTCCTACTGCGGTGAACACGGTGGTAAACAACCTGCAGGCGCACATGGGGGTGGGGGGTGGGGGTGGGGTTGCTTGCAGGTGCTTTGGGTGTAAAGCACAGTCACTAAGTGGATCCACAACGCCCAAGACTGAATCATGTGTGCCGCCTGCAGCCGATGTGTGCCCTGGTTAGCGATTTGTATTTCCATACCTTGATGGCAATTCCCCAAATGGAAATTTTTCCACACACCGTATTTCAAAATTGGCATGGCAACATTTATAGGTTTTTCATTAGGCAATGTTCCCCTTCCAATAATAAACAGAAAATGATGTCATATTCTTTCTCGGAGACACTCCCCTGCTGCTGCATCAAGTCTCGCTGATGGATTGAACGTCTGTGCAGGTGTGCACAGCTGTCACTCGGGGCACTGGAGACCGGGAGGGACTCAGGCACATCTGGCCACTCTCAGGTCTGCATTTTAAACAGGAGGACTCGGGGGCTTTGGGAGGATGAGGACCCCACCCTGAGGTGGCACGGAACCACAGTCCATCTTATGAAACTGCATGCAATTGTCCATTGCCTAAGAAAGATTAATGCCACCCAGCTAGCCGGCTTTTGAAAAAGGGTGTGAATTGGCATAGTGTATAATGTTCAATTAAGGAAAGCCTTAGACTGGGAGGAAATATGATTAGTTCACTTCTGAGCAACTCTGCGTAGTTTTCTTTTGACTTGGGCCATTTCTTCTGTGGGTGGAGCCCCTCTCCCTCATTAGAATAAAGGTAAACAGACAGCCCAATTATAAATGGGGGGGAAATGTGTGCCCTGTGTCACTGCGGGCTGCAGAGGGTGACGGCCGGAGAAGTTGGGCACAGGGAAGAGCCGGGCTGGAGCATGAGTTCCAAGTCAAAATCCATAGGGCTCATCGGAGCTCCTTTCTCAAAGGGACAGGTGAGGAAAACTTGACTGGAAATGGAATTGACTTGAAAAATTGGAGTTAAAAATGACTAAGTTGTTATTTGTGTCTTGGTGGTTTATCCCCCTGACATACTCTGGTCCTGGGGGTTGGGGAAGCCCTTTTTACCATATTTCAACACTGTATCATTATGATCATAAATCTGTTTGTCTCTATGGCATCTCATCACTACTAAAGTCACTTTTATTTGAATCTTCCCAATATTTCCTGCTATCTTTTAGAGGAAGCGTTTTTATTTGAAGTGAAATGGGCAATTTCCATGCTACAGATACTCATATAGATATTGTTGCCCTGATGGTCCTGGATGTGGGTGGGAGGAGGGAGGGTTTTTAAGAAAACCCTGTCAGTTGTGCAATTCATACCTGGGAAAATTACATGCATCGGAGGTAATTTCAGACTCCTTTGAGCTTGGATAACCTCAATACCATGGCTCCACACATCCTTGCAAATTATTCAACGAGGAGGCGTCAAAGAGTTTGTGGGGGAAATTCCATGAGCTTTTCCCTCCACAGTTCTGTGAATTGTTGCAGCCCCTTGTGTTATTTTAAGACTTTGGTGCCGTGATGAAGCTGGTCGCTGATAGGTTTCTTGAAGTGCTCGGGTGCCTCTTTCTGAGGAGAAGCAGAGAAAAAGAAAGAGACCCCACCTGCAAAATGCCAACTGAGAGGATGAATAGACTTATGAAATTCACAGATTCACCTGCCTGGCAATTAAAACCGTGCCTGTGACATTTACATGCACAGCCTTTTCTTTCTGCCAGAACACACTCACTCAGAATAACTGTAAAGAGATTTCAGGGCACCTCGGACGTCAGTAGGAGCCTGTGCTAAAAATAAACATAAAGAACTGCCCCAGCAGAAGACCAGGAGTGGGCGGACACTCCTCTGCCGGATTGCTGCCGCTGTTGCATTGAGGGGCGAGCGTTCTCTGGGGCTCGCAGGAATTTCTCTGTCTACCTGGGCAGCGCTTCCTCCCTCTTCGTTTTAAACTCTTGCTTTGCACTCTGGCCTTTTATCGCAAAACAAATTGGTAGAGGCCAGAGGTCAGAGACCTGGACTGCATTTGGACTCAGTAAATAGTGCTTCATGCCTCCCATGGTCCCTCCCAGAGAGAGTGCAAGGACGTTTTGCTGACATGGCCATGTTTCTGCAAATGCTAGTTAACTGTGAAACCCACAATGACCACAGCTGCTCCCGGAACAGGTCACAACAAAGCTAGAATGGAAACAATTGTCCAAAAGAAGGGAGGGAAATAAGTGACCAGAAGAAGACAGGAAGAAAGAGAACGAGGAAGTAGACTGGGCAGACTACAGCCCCGAGACTCGGTGCAGATCATCACAGCCAGCTGTCAGGAGCTGCAGCCCCCACGCACAGTGGATCACATGCTGCCCAGGGTTGGTGTTGGGCAGCATGTGATCCATTGTGATGGTGGCCTCTCATGCTTTTCATGGACTGGTTTGGGGAAGTTGATCGCTCAGCTGTTCTTCCTGGTCCAGCTTAGGCTAGAAGCTCTGCTGAAATCTGGTAGCTTCATACAATCCAAAGCCTTCTCTGAGAGATGGCTGGCGGCTGTGCACAAGCTGCATTGTCTGCCACTTGCCCCCAGGTTCCCCAAGTGCAAGGTGAGAAGTCTAGCACAGAACACCACCGTCCGTCCTCCTGCTGTCACTGTAATGGGCCAGTTGCTGTTGAGTTGATTCTGACTCACAGTGACCCCGTGTGTTTCTGTAGAGAGTTACTACTGGCTGTGATCGTTCAGAAGTGTACAGCCGGGGCTGTCTTCTGGTTAGTAATTGTGCACCGTGATGCCGAATAGCCCCTGTAAGGAATAGTACTCAGAAATATGGCCTGATGCGCATTTTCCATCCTCAGTAACTTTGTTTGCTTTTTCTCCACACAGCACCCTCCCCTCCCCAATTAAAACTTGGCCGTGAGACTTAAGCATATTGGTCCAGCATAGTAATAATTGAAAAAAGGCTTTTCTACACTTAGCCATGGTGGTTGTGGGGTCCCTTGATTCCATTTTTCACACCTAGCAACCCCATGTGACAGTCAAGTTGAACTGCGCCATGGGATGCTGTTTAGACTGTAGTCTCTGTCTCCTTTCTGATACCAATGCAGTTGAACTTCATGCTGACACCATCCTTGTGGTCATTCTGCCCCGAGATAGTCCTTTCTGTCTGAAGTCTGAGTCATACTCAGTTGATATTTATTGGGAAAAGGTATTTCTTCATGGGAGCAGATCAACAGACATTTCTCCCAGGGAGCTGCTGGGCAAGTTTGCCCCATGAATCTTTCGGTTACCAGCAGATGAGCACTTAACCACCAAACCACCAAGGCTATCGGCACTATGAGGGGAAAATGCTAGAATATAAGCAGTTCTCCCCACCTAAAATGAGATAAGAATTTGATAATTGGGGGGCGGGGTGGGGATGGGTAGAAGACAGAAGGGCAGAAAGACAGAATGCCTGAGAAAGCACTCTAGCCCTTCCCTCCTTTCCTAGCAAGGCAGTGGGGGTGAGGGAAGGAGGTGGCAGCCAACGCTGAGGTGGGCGCTATTATTTTATAGCTAACAAAAGCTCAGAGACAGAATCGTTTGCTCTACATCACACAGCCAGTGGCAGAGCCAGGGCTAGCGGATGTCAAAGCCTGCGCTCCTAAGCTGCATACATGGACACACCTGTCAGTGCCTCATGCCGACTGGAGCTTGTACTTGTGAGCAGGAGGTGCCGAGCGAGGATTTGACATCTAGTTTAAAAGGTTCGTTGAGCCGACAAAGCAGTTCCCAAAGTGGGCAAACCAGGCCGTTAAAGAACACCATCAGGACAGGTAGTCTGCATCCATGTCTCAAAGTGCTGCAGAAAAACGTCCCTGTGAGACTGATCAGGGCTACGTTGGGACAGATGTAGTGCCAAGAAGAAGTCTGGAAGATTTAGGAAAGGTTACGGAGTTTTAACCAACTGGCAGTTTTAGAACATATACTAAAGGTTAGCCCTCCACTACCAGAAAGAGAACTTTAAAGAGCAGCCTTGATTCCAGGCAGGGGATTCTCATGGCACCGCCAGTTTGTTCAGAGGCTTACACGTAGCAATGATACTGACCAGGTTGAGAGGATCGTCCAGGTTTTAACAGACTAGAAACAACAGCCTGGAAATTCACTTCTGAAAACCTGCCAGGGGAACCGCACGTATCACAAGCGATCCACTCTGTGACTGCTCGTGCTGATGGCAAAAGGCTGGACGGGTTCACCTCCTTGTGTGCGGGCCTGCTCTCAATTGGAAAACTGACACAGGATAAATAACAACAACAACTACACACTTCCAGCATTTAGGAATATAGTCTAGTCACAGGAAATGAAATGGGTGGCAGAGTGTGAGCCCATGCCGCACCTTGCTGGGGCTTAAGATACACTATTTGGTGTGTTAATGCAAAAGGGACTTAACGAAAGCAGCACAGGTGTCAGGACTAAGCGGGTGTCCCTTGCTATCAGGGATGGGACTTTGATACCAAGGGTTTGCCTGGCAGCTGACCGTCTGAGAAGAAGGATGAAAGAGCCCTAGAAAACGTGCGTCTTGAGCCCTCCAGTCAGCCAGGAGACTGGAGACAACCTCCTGCCAGCAAAAAGTGCTCATTGACTCGATAGAACCATAGTCAAGGTCGACGTTTCTCTTTGATGGTGCTTTCAATTCATTGAGTTGGTCTATGGCCTTGGTTGTGGGGAGAAGAAGAGGGGTCCTCCACAAAACATCACAGGTCCGGTAGGCGCAATTGTACAGTGATAATAAGTAAAGATTATAGTAAAGTCATAGAGAGCATGAGAGGTAGAAGATACAGTCAAGTAATGGAGTCAGACACAATTATCAGAAGGGAGTGGGCCCTACTTGTTGTGGGATAAACAGTGGTGTCTGCTTGGTCTAGATGGCTGATAGCTCTTAGGGAGAATGACCCCTAATCTACTCCTGATGACCTCCAAGTGTATAGTCATTCTCAAGCAGCTAAGTCTGGCATATATTTGGGGGAGACAGCTTGAGAGAAATCCTTGTTTCCCATACTTGGTTTCAGCCCACTTCTCTCCAGGGCCCAGGAGGTACTTGCCTGATGACTGATACCCATGCCCCTCTTTCGTCATGCATCTTATGCCTTTGCCCAAACTCTTCCTTGGCTTGCAAACTTTTCCCATCACGCTCTCTTATTTTCCTGGCGAAGACCTACTCATGTTGCAAGACTCAGCTTACATGCCATCTCCCCCATGCAGCCTTCCATGATACTCATTTTGTTTAAAGGCCCAAATCCCCTATTAACTTATACATTAACCAAAGTCAGAAATCCACCCCTTTTCATTTTTGTATCCCAACTTACATTATGCTTTTGCACAAAGTAAGAATTCCTTTTGATGCTGTGTATTAAGCATTGAACAGTTTACCACAAGGTTCGTGGTTCAAACCTACCAACTGTGTGAAAGGTGTGGCTGTCTGCGCTTATACAGATTTTGTCTTTGCATCCCTTTAGAGGGTTTCTATGAGTAGGAATTAACTCAGTGGCAGGGGATTTGATTTGTTTGCACAGAGTACATGTTTACTATAAGGATCTCCAGTGGCACAAGATGATTAAGCTCTTGGCTGGTAACCAAAATGTTGATGGTTCAAGCCTACTTTGCAGGTCGACCAGAGAAAGATGTGGTGACCAATGCCCATAAGGATTATAGCCTAGAAAACCCTATGGGGAAGCTCTGTTCTGCCACCTGGGGTAGCGCTGTGTTCACGTGGGCAAGCCAGCATCTCACCCAACAGCATGCTGACAGCAGGGTGTGGTGCGAAGAAGGGATGTGGGCTTCGGCATCTGAAAGGTCTGGATGGGAGCTTAGGCTGTGTGGTAGTCACCTAATCTGGTGTCAATTTAAGGATTAAGAGTGTAGGGGTGGAGTCCAGGCTGTCAATCTGGAGATAGCCAATGATACTTCTGTGTAGGCCTGGCCTTCTCCTGAGAATTCTGGGAAATCTGGTACTTCCTCCTTGGAGGCAGAAGACATCTCTCTCTCTGCTACTCCCCCTGGGAAACATTGCAGAAGACAAGCCACATGGACACAACCAGACCTCTGAAGCCGGAGAAGCCACAGAGAGACCTCTGCCAGCGCTGAGATGCTTACGATGCCACTGGATCCAAAGACTTTCTACTCACTGGCTTGTGATTGTCCTGCATTTGGCTTCATTGCATGTGTTTCATGATTCTAAAGACAACCTTATAGATTGGTATTGGACATATGGGCTAATATCAGACTTATGGCCTTGGACTGGACTGGGTTGGGATGTTTTCTCAATGTTCAATTGCTCTTGTATATAAATCTCTTTCTTGTACACATGTGTGTCCATGGATTTGTTTTTCTAGTCTACCCTAACACAGGCTCTGCCACTTTCTAGCTATGTGATTTAATCCTTTTGATCCCAGCTTTTTCTGCAAGACACCTGAGTAACACAATCTACCTTGCTTTGAGGACCAAATGAGAGTATGTAAATTCCTGGCACTGTAGGACCTCAAGATAGGATAGTGACAATCCAATGGATTAAATGGTAACGTGTTCATTTTGGGGACATCTGAAAGTGATGATCATGTCTATTTTGTCTTTTCTTTAATTGTTCAGCCACGAGGAGGGGTAGAAGAAGGCCCCATCGCATTGAGAAAGGCGGGTCTTCTTGAGAAACTTAAAGAACAAGGTACATTTTCAGTTGAAAGAATCATTTTGTTTCCCCCACCCCCACCCCTACTCAGACGGAAGGAGCCAGGGGGCTAGTTAAGCTGGGATGGGTTGGGAGTGGTATTTATAGTACAGAATGCAGAACTGTTTGCCACCTTCGACACATGTTATAAAAAGGAGTATCCCCGATGGGGAGAATGTCAGAAGTCAATGCTGGATGAGTATTCCCTAGAAGAACACATAGCCCCATTCAGATACAAGGGGGAAATGCCACTCCCTTTCCATGACTTTGAACCCTTCTCATCTTTAGTCTTTGTAGCCAGACTATTCTACAAGCAATTCTGTGCATGTGTGTGTGTGTGTGTGTGTGTGTGTGGTGGCTAGGGGGCAGGATAGCTGGGGGAGGGGACAGGTGTGGAAAACAAGTAAGTTGTAGCTAGGGGGTGTCAGAGGAGCCACATTGCTCCACTGGGCTTCCAAGGCTGTCCCCTTTCAGAGGCCTCTGTGCCTCTGGGTGGGTTCCAAGCACCAAATGCTGGTTAGTCAAGCAAGCCCTTTCATGTCATCCACTCTCCTTTACCAGTAAGAGGACACGCCCCTGTCCTTTAAAAAAAAAAAAAGAAAATGAAGAAAAACAGTAATAAGAGTAATAATGCCAGGTGTTTGCATAGTGCATGTGTGTATTTAAACACACACACACACACACACACACACACACACACACACACGGCTTCAAAAACTTTGTGGACAAATGTAGTGAAAAGGTAATGGATTTCCCCTCCATGAACATTCTGAAGCAAATGCAAAACTGTATGTATTTCAAAAGTGTAGGCTGAGGCACGTGGGGTCTTACATGAAGAACACGAGTGATGTGTTGGTGAAGGGGACCAGTGAACCTCCCGTATTAGTGGTAGCATGTCAACACATTAAAGCTACTCTGGAAAAGTTTGTCAGTTTCTAAAATATGCTTACCTTTTGACCCAGCAGTTTCACTCCTAGGCATTTACCCAAGAGAAGTGAAAATATATGTTCCTGCCAACACCGGTACTTGGACTGGTAGCAGCATTCTTTATAATAGTAAATTTTCAGTAGTAAGAAAACAAAAGAACAAAATGTTCAGCAGCTGGTAATTAGATGACAAGACGTGGTCCGCCCTTAAGACTGGGTAGGACTCCTATATAAAGGGATCAACAGGTGCCACAGGCAAGGATGTGGTAATTTTCAACGCCATCACACTGTGTGAAAGAGGCCAGGCCCCAGAGACTGGGTACTGTCTGCCTCCATTTAGTGAAGTTCTAGGAAGAGGACAGCAATAGAAAGCAAAACCTGGTTGCCTGGGGTTGAGGTGAGGATGGTTGCAGTGGGGCAGGAGGACATTGGGGGCTGGGGGGCTGGTGTTAATGGGAGTGTTCTACAACTCGATTGTGGTGGTGGCTGCAAGTCTCTGCATATTTCCCAAACTCATTGACCTGTCCCCTTACTATGGGGGAATTTCCGTGACTGAAAAGTGGACCTTACTAAAGAAAACAACAAAACACCCCACAGAGAACAGAAAGCTTATTTGCACAAGTGGAAAATTTCCCTCAGCGAACTTGGTAACATTTTATGTTGACTAAATCTCTCGAGTGTTACTGAATCGTACATACGTGAACATAACACACAACGAAGCTTCAATTACCTATGGAACATGGTGCGGCCCACGCTAGTTTTCTGTGGAGCTGTATGCTTTTCAGGCAGAGCTTCCTTCTTAGGAAGAACATCAGAAATGTGGGTGCCTGCTTTTTTTGCTTTCCCTTATTGAAGAAACGTGAGATGATCAAGCCTTCTTAGCCTGAGTTCTTGAGTGTCAGGCTCAGGGATCAACCTATATTCTTGTTACATCTGACCCTAACACTAAAAGGCAGGTCCAGTGGGCAGTGCAGAGGGAGAGCCGGGCTGCCTCAGCAGTTGACAGTGTGCATTAGAACACAACCACAGAGTTGGAAATCTTAGAAGATACGCCTGAATTTTCTTCTGGGTCTAAATACTATTTTCTTAATATTCTTTCCATAGAAAATTTAAAAGCATATGAGGGAAATTCAGAGCTAGATTGATTTAGGTAGGTAGGCAGAAAGGGAGAGAGAGAAAGAGAGAGAGGAGAGGACAGGTGTGTTGATATCCGGTCCAAATCATCTGGTTCAAAATGCTAGCTCAGCCCCTAATAAAACGATTAAAAAAATGCTAGCTCTTAGTGTCTAGCCTAACTGGATTGATTCAAGAAGGATTAGGCACTCTGTGGGGCCCTGGGGGATGCTGCTAGGCAGAAGCCTTTATGACATTTACCTTCATGCAGACCTTCCAGAATTTTTTTTCTTATGCCATTTAAATATAATATCTTTCTAAATTTGGAATCATCCTGTGCATACTGTTTTGTAATCTGCATTTTAAAAACGTTTCATTTTAGCATGTGACGTGAAAGATTATGGTGACCTGCCCTTTGCTGATGTCCCTAACGACAGTCCCTTTCAAATGGTGAAGAATCCAAGGTCGGTGGGAAAAGCTACAGAGCAGCTGGCTGGTGTGGTGGCAGAAGTCAAGAAGAGTGGGCGAACCAGCCTGGTCCTCGGCGGAGATCACAGGTCTTGTTGAATGATTGTCTGTGGGAGACGGCACGAACCCGTCTAAGGCAGCGGTTCTCAACGTTCCTAATGCCATGACCCTTTAATACAGTTTCTCATGTTGTGGTGACTCCCCCCCACCATAAAATTATTTTTGTTCCTACTTCATAACTGTAATTTTGCTACTGTTATGAATTGGGCAATCCCTGTGAAAGGGTTGTTCAACCCCCAAAGGGGTCGTGACCCACAGGTTGAGAACCACTGATCTAAAGGCTCTGTTATAATCTAACAGGATCTGTTCAGTATAATATAACCATAATTTGTTTTCTTCGGGACCAAATGACATACAGACTGATAGAAATCAAACAATCCCGA